CAACAGAGGCATGAACGGCTCCCCTCGGTGCAAGGCACAGTGTGGAACCACTGAACCCGGGTTTCCCTTCACTGGAGCCACTCTAACAACAAATTCCAGGGACAGCGGCCCATTCCCACCCGTGACTGACAGACCAGTCCCCTGTGTGCTCTGAGCTCTCCAGTCCTGCCCTGCAAAGTGCTCCTGCAAGGGAGTCCTCGCTTCATGAGCATCCCCACTGCTCTGTGTCAGTGATGTCACCCTGTTCGAGAAGGCCTCAGCAGAGGCAGGGACTTGCTGGTTCCCTGGCCTGGGGGAGCGGATCATCTAGTAGCAACCTGGCACCTCTAGCTCAACCCAAAACATCACCCTAATTTCTCAGCAGGCATTACAGTGCTCCCCCTCCTTGCCCGCAGCTTGGACACTGCCAACCTCCCTTCCCGATGCTCCCTGCCTCTCTCCTTGGGTTCATCTCCCAAAAGACAAAGCTGGCTCTAGGTTCCCTCGGGACCTCCTGCACACCTTGTATCTCCCCTCATCCAGTAACTCAGCTGAGCTTCTCCCACGGGCTGGGACAGCAATGTGCAGCTCCGGCTCCGCAACAGCCTTCAGGGAGGCACCAGGCAGGTACCAGCTGTGGCTGTACAACCGAATCACCGTCGGCTGCTGGCTTGAGGAACCCTCACACCCCCTTCCGAGGGGCCCTGAGCACAAACACAGTCAGCGGTGGGCACCAGAACAGTTGCAACACGAAGGCAGTAGCTTGCTCCAGGAGCTCCAGGCTATTACACAGGAAAGAGATTAACCAGCTTGCTTGCTCCTCTTCCCCACTTCTCTGACTTACCTGGCTGAGAAACCAGGGCTTGGCTGTGGTTCCTCCTCCCTACCCCACGCATGGAGCACAGAACGCACGGCCGTATGCAGAACGACGCAGGCAGAGCGGTGCCGCAGGGCTCTGGCACTTCAGTGGGGCCGAGTCTCCTGCAAAACAATAAAATGTCAGGATTTGCACTGACGTTTGCCATATATTTGAAATACCTGCTGCTCGGCTCCCCCTTGCCCTCTGGAGAGCCTCCACCCGACAGCCTGGCCGCTCAGACAGAAACGCCTGCGGGAGCCGGAGCGCGAGGAGCCCAGCCGGTCACGGGCAGAGCGGCTGCTGCCGAGGGGCGCTGCTGTGCTGGGGGACAGGCGAAAAGCTTTCCGAGAGCGGCCGGAGCCTTCCCATGTCATTTCCCTTCCCTATTCTTTATCAATGGTTTGCGTTGTCTTTTGCTGTTGGTGTTCATTTGGTTGTTTTCTTTTAATGAGTAACTTCATTAAAGCCTCCACCGGTGGCGCAGGCCCCCGGGTCCTGGCAGGCCAGTCCCACCCCAGAGCCAGGCCCTGCAGCTCCACCACAAGCCTGTTGCCCGAGTTGGGTTTCGGTGCCAGCCTTTCCTCGCTCCGGGCCACCTATGCTACGTGTTTAATTCAGCAACGCTGGCGTTACGCAAAAGCTGTAATACCAGCCCTCTAAGACCAGCCTTCAGGAGTCCCATCAAAGGCAAACACTCATCGAGGTCATTGATCTGGAGGGGACATGCCAAGGGATTGCCCTGAATGCAGTGTTTCTAAACCCAAAACTACTTTTCTGTCCTGGGCGTACTCCTGTTCCGGGCACGGGGGCAGGGAAAGCCCCTTCACGCGACCCCAGCCCTGCGGTCCCACAGGTTTGCTAGGAGCAATCCCCCCACAGCAGCTAGGCTGGGTGGATGTCTCGTCCCACCCTATCACGTGCACACGGGGGCTAGGAAAAAGGCAAGGGGTGCTCCTCAGTCTGCTGCTGATTTATTACTCCCGTTGCCCGAGCAGCAGAAATTTAGGACAAATACACTCTCCATCTCCCAACAGGCTGGGGAGGGAGGGGGACAGCCAGTGCAGAGGCTCGGCGGGGCAGGCGGAGGCTCTGTGCTGGGCACAGACCCCCTCAGCACCCCAGGGAGCATCCCCTCTGGGGAGGCTGCAGCCCTGGTGCCGCAGGGGCTGAGCCCTTTCCAGCGGGATTGTGCAAACTCAAACCCCGGGTTCTCTGCGGGATGAACTCGGTCCAAATCTCCACAAGTGCACTTTGCACTCTGATCGTGGTGACCTCATGCCGGCTCCCTCGACGATGTTTAAAGTCCAGGGGAGAGGGGTGCTTACCTGCCTCTCAGGCGCACCAGCTCACTCCCACTCCTCCCTGCCTGCACATCTGCCTGGACGAGGGCTCCGGGGCCTGGATCCGGACTGCAGCATGCGGCTGCTTTTCGAGGCAGCGGTTCTGTGCCTGACCCTGGGCTTCGGGCGATGCGCCAAGGAAACACCACAGGAGAACACCGTCCACCAAACTCCCCAGGCGGAGTCATCCTATTCAGAGTGGGGCATCGGGGCCATCCGGGACAGCTTCGAAATGGTTAACAGCTACTTTGACTCCTTCTTGGAACTGCTTGGGGGAAAAAACGGCGTTTGTCAGTACAGATGTCGATACGGTAAGTGAAACTCACTCCTGCTGGCTCTTCTTTTCTGGCCTTTTCCCTTCTCGGGCGGAAAGTTGCAGCACTCTCCTTGCACAAGACCACAACCAGCTCCTATCCACGTCCTGACCCCTGCTATGCTCAGCACAGAAAAGCCGCGGCAGAGAGCCACAGCTTCTCTGCTAGCACCAGCACAGGGCCACTGAGCCCTCACCTTGCCCTCTCACCAAGCACAGCCTGATCCTCAGCTGCTGTGCTGCGTGCGAGGGGACAAGAGGAGAGGAGCTGGGTTTTGCAGGGAGGGCATACGGGTAAGCAGGGTGCCTGGCTGCCTGGAGCCCAGGAGAGAAGGACCAGGGCAGGCCCTGGAGGGGAGGACGAGCAGCCCGTGTGGACCTGACTCAGAAGGGGTTGTTAGTGTCGCCAGCAGCCCTAATCTCAGCAACCTTCGGAGTGTCATTGCTCAGCAGTTGTGAGCTGGGTAATAGCGTGGGCTGGAGGAGGGGAGATAACAGGAAGGTAAAGAGACCTGCCGTCACCACGGAGGAACCTTTAGTACCCAAGGCAGAATGAGGCAGCTGCTGCTCGCCTTGGACTTTAGAGTGATTTACCAAAAAGGAAGAGTTTGGTTTGTCCTGGGGGCAGGATGAAGGGGGTGACGCCTCAGGGAGAGCAGGGCAGGGGACGGGGCGCGCAGGGGGACGGGAGCCTGTGGGGCGGGTCTGTGGGGCGCTGGGCAGGCAGACACCAGCCATCAGCAGGGTACCTGCTGGAACAACCTGTTTGGGAACAGCAGGGGGGTTTCCTACAGACTGTGTCCTCTCCCCAGCCTCCTACAACTGTCCCCACAGCAATAACTGTCCCCTGCCACCTTAGCTTGCCCATCCACCACTGGCCATCAGCCCTTTTCCCTCCAGCTTCTTCCCACGTCCCTGGTGACCGCCTGGGGAAGATGCTTGGGAGCACAGAGATTTCAAGCTCCCTCCTCCCCTGAGCATCGCTTTTCACAGACAGAGACCCCATGCTTTGGAGACATCCCACCGACTCAGTTCCAGCCTGTGTGCATCCCATTTCTTCCGGAGCGCGGGCTGCACGCTCAGCCTCTCCAGCCTTCGCTGTAACGCTCCCCCCCGGCAGCAAGGTTTGGGCAAGCTGGTATTCAGAGCTCGTTCCAGGGAGTCTAGGGACTCACCAAGTCCTGAAGAAGTCATCGGCTCTTGGGCACATCCCAAGACTGAGACTCTCCTTGTCCCTGCTGCCTTGGCCCTGCGCTCTGGGCAGGGGGAAGAGCATCTCCACAGAGCAGCACAAATGCCTGCCTGCTCCCCGAGAGCATCCTGCATCTTACTGGAGGAATGCTTTTACCTAGAAAGGAAAACAAACAAGCACATCGTTAGCCCTGTTCTCATCCTCTACTGAACAGCTCGTTAATCACTGGCCAAAGGAGGGAACTATCGAAACGCTGCCCATGTGCCTCCAAGGGTCTTGCTGGACCCCCGCAGGACCATTTGTCTGTGCTGGTCTCTAGCACAGACATTGCAAACTGCAAGAGGAGACGATCCTAAACCAGTGAGACCAGCTGTCTGCGCCCAGAAGAATGAACACAAACCATCTTTACCATCTTGCTGCTGAATCAGGGACTGACTGCTTTTTCCCCAGGCACGCAGCAAAACTTATGCCTTCTACTTTCCTTCACTGCAGCCAGGAGACACCGATAATAGCTTATTTTGCCACGATAAAGGTCAGGACTCACCTGTGATTGCCACATCCATCTTCAGCTGAGCACGAAGCACTTGGCTGTTCTGGCTGTAAGACTCCTCCTGATTTTTTCAGCAGCTAGTGAAGTCTGAAGACAAACAACTTGATGAATTACTCCCTTAAATCAGGACATTAGGGTTCCACTAGCATTTGCTGGCAAATAACCTCCTCCTCCTCCTCCCAGAATCTCTCTGGGCATCTCAGGGGGATAAACAGCCTGAACTGGGAGTAAATCCCTTGACAGCTTCCTTCAGCTGTCTGGCCAGGCAGGATTTCAATGTTTTGCCCAGCATTTGGTCCTGAGGGGCTCAGGATGAGGAGGCACATCCAGGCTGTGGGAATAGAGCCTTCAAAGTCAGGCTCTCCAGCAGAGTGCTAAAAGGCTGTGGTTACGTATGGGCAACATCTGCCCAAAGCCCGCTTGCCTAGGGCAGAGAAATAACAATGGACCACTCAAACCAGCAAGGAGCCCCAAGACCATCTATTCACCCAGAAATACATTCACCTCCCCCTGCCAGCGCACCAGTACTGCAGTGTCCGAGACCTCCTGCATTGCCAGCAGAGCTGTTCTAAGCCAGTTGGCTGTTTTCCAGTCTCTTGGCGTAGCTACAGCAGCCTGGAGATATTAAAATGCATCAGGGAAACTCGCTTCCCTTTAGAAACTCAACTTCAGTTCCCCTCAAAGGCCATGCCAACAAGGCAGCGTCCTGAAGTAATATCTTCTTCCAAAGAACAGGCTTCCTCAGCAAGGCTGTGCTTCCGAACATCGCTCTTGAGTGTGCTGCCGGGCAGGTCCTGCCGCGCTTGCAGCTGCCTTTGGGTACCTCTCCCCGGCGATGCCCTGCAGCGAGCAGACCCACCGCAACAGGCCCCTGGTGGAACACAGCTAGCAAAGCAGTCGGCGTGACCCACCAAGCCCCTTCCCAACCCCAGACGTGCCTACAAGGATGCGCAAGCAATAAATGACAAGGAAAGCACTCAGTCAATGCTGGTGTAGAGCCAGGAACGCCCATTATCTCTGCTTTGCTTTTGTTTTCCTGTTAGCTAGAAAACAAGATGTGGGAGAGAGGTTAACAGTGGCATCCTGGACTTTATCTGGCTGAGGAAGAGTTCACAAACATGCACTTTACAAATGATTAAGCTTTGTTTTTCAGAAAGGAGAGGGGCAGGTTTCCTACAAGGGTGCGTCTTGAAGGCAGTTCCATGTTTTGTTGACCACCACAATTCTCATATGAGGTTTATTTTCCTCTCGGGATGACTTTCTAAGACATTATAATAGCTGTAACTTCAGCTTAATGGAAGGTTTTCTCTGGAAACTCAGTTATCTCCATATCCCCAGGCAGCCTCACTCTGACTCTGACTTGCCCCCTTACCCCATTAAAAGACAACGTGCTGCAGGAACATAACTTATCGTCAGTAATACAAGTGAGTCATTAAAATTTGACCCCATCCTGCAAAACCCACCTTGAATTTTGAGCTTTCTTCCACCTCCTAGCTCAGTTCAGGAATGTTTGAATTCTGAGTCCCAGTTCTCCAATTCTCACCCTCTTCCACAAGAGGCTGTGAATTGCACCGAGACCAGGGTGCAGCCCTCCTCTCATTATATCGCTTGGGAGCCTTGGGTTATAGATTCAGCCCACGTATAGACATAATTCCTTCTCCTTATAGCATAACCACCAAAACAGCGTTAACGTGCAACGTGTCGTGAACTCAGAAATCACCATGCGTCAGCATGCCTCAACGGACTTACGTTATGTTTTGGTGCAAAGCTAATCCTATAATGATGGTGTGCTACGGCCAACTGATTTGTGCTCTTTGTCTACTGTTAACTCAGCTCTACCTGCTCAAAATAAGAATGCGTTTTGCCCTAGAAGATTACATTGGGAGCAGGAAGCAGATCTGACCTATTCAAAAGGGGCCAAAAAGGTAGAAACACAGCAGTAATTGCTGTGCTGAGAAACAACCTTCCCACGCAAACGCCATCACCTGGTGGTAACGTCAGCTAAAGAGCTTTACCTTGGCTCGCCGGCAGCTAAATCCTCAGTGTGCACTGCATTTCTGTAGGGTTGGAGAAAAACAGCTATTGGCGTCTCCCAGCTGGACAGGATTCCAGTTTGTTGTTTATTTGTTGCAAATCTGTTTTTTAAACCAAACCGCTCTGGCAATTTTTAATTTAGGTGCTGGGGACATTCCTACATAAGACCTTTTGAAACATTTGGCTGTAGGTCTTCTCCAGAACACAGAAGGTTTATGGCTATATTAACCACTGATACCTGAGGTACCTTGACAAAAAAAAAAAGGGGAAAAGCGTCTTAAATGATTATCAGTGCTGACAAGAAGCAAGCAGTGGAAATCGAGTTTAAAAGAACCCAACCCTGCCTGAAGGGCTAAATTAGATCTATTTTACGTCTATATAAATTCTCTAGTGGTGCTCAGGGAAGCAGAAACTTAACCCTAGGGGCGATGGACTTGCAGAAGGCTGAACTCACATAAAGTTTTCCCAGAGCAGGGTTCAAATGTCTTGTTTTAACAACTCACTCTGCATTTGAGACCTCCCTTTTATAAACCCAGCCAGGACAGAAACAGAACAAGCACTGACCACACAAGAAGGGACAATAACAGAGAAATTCAACTCCATGGGGGTGGCCTCCACGACTTCTCCAGGGGAGAACCATCCCCCACCTATAAACGAGCTCCTTGCGCAGCGGGATCAAGGCACAGAAGCAGCCTGGCAACTTGTCCTCCCCAAATGGGAGCTATGGGGTTAAATGCAGATGGGAGTTGAGGTAGGGATGAGACAGGGCAAGGGACAGACAGATCTCCTTTCCACATGGGCAGTTGCCACCCCAACTGTGGGCACCCACCCCTCACACCCAGAGCACTCAGCTCCGTGTCAGCCGTACGCAAAGCCCCAGGACAGGAGGCGGGCAGGCAGACGGGAGGGCTCACACCCCTTCAAAGCAAAGTAAACCTGATTAAATTGCTGCTGAAGCTTCTGTTAGCTGCCTGTCTGCTGGACCCTTTCTACCTTGGGTACGTAATTATTCACGGAGAAAATTCTTGCTCCCCTATGCATATTAAGAAGGCAGAGATAAAGGGATAGCGACTATTTGCAAAACGCAGCCATGCATCACCACCAAGACAACCTCCTCCTCCGAGCAAGATCAGACATGCAGGGTCTAGCACAATTTTGCAGAAATCCACAGCCCACTGACACTGAGGATGGGAAGAACTCCCCTTGCTGAGCCAGTAGTTTCTTGGAGGAGTTAAAAACACATCTGGGTGATCCCAGCTGTGCAGAGCTCTCAGGAAGCACGCCAAAAAGCTCCTAGGAGATCTAGGGAGGCCTGAGGCGCTAGCTCTAGCATGGAGGGCTGCTCAACTGCAAAACCTCACGCTGCAGAGAGGGACTTGCCCATTTGTAAGAGCTGGGGAAAATCCCAGACCTTCGGACTCAAACATCTGAGAAGTGCTGGGGACCCAGTTCACACACAGCCCGGTGCTCCAGTGGCCGTGCCAGAGGAGGTATGAGTTAAGTCAGGCTCTAGAGCCTCGACAGAACTGATCTGAGAGCAGGGCCAGTGTCTCAGCCAGCTCTAGCACCTATCCTTCACTCCCTGCATCTCCTGGAGGAGAACAAAGCGTTTGGGGGTGCAGACTGGAGGGAAGCTGCCTGACACTCCTTGCTTTTGCTGCAACTCTTGGGAAGATCGGCTTTCCTAACATCTTTCCTTTCTTTCCCAGGGAAGGCTCCAATGCCGCGACCTCACTACAAACCCCAAGAACCCAACGGCTGTAGCTCCTATTTTCTGGGGCTCAAGGTACCCGAAAGTGTATGTACTGCCACGCTTACCGTTCCCAAATGGGGCAATTCCCTAATCGCAGTAACCAGCCAATAATACCGGGGAGGGAAAAGGCTTAGCCATGCTATGCACCGACTGTGCGATGGCTTCTCTTCACAGCTGAAGCCAGAGCTCTGGAAAAGGGAGGGAATATTACTTAGGTGGTGTTAGGGGACAAGCTATCTGCCTGGGACTGCCAAAAGACATGGCTGCCTGCCGACAGCAAGCAAGGTGACCACGTCAGTCTGAGCATTACCATCAGTCAGGGAGGCATTAAGATCTCGACTGCCGGTGGCAGTCAAGCAGGAATCACGTAGACAGGAGTTGCACTTATGAAGGACTGGCCTGCTGCTCTGGTTCTCTCGGTCGGGACCAAAAGAGAAAGTTTCCTGAGCAGGCTAGCACTAGAACAAGAAAAGGGGGTACCTGGCCAAGCAGAGCACCAGTGCGGAGAAACACATTTTTATCAAGGCCCTGATCAATCCCATGCCCTTGTGATAGGACAGGGAACATGTTCAACGCTGGGCAGCCCCGTGACAAAGCGTAATGTGCAAACGGTGACACTTGAATGCATTCCCCGCACCTGGCCCTTCGTCCCCTCCCTTGCTTTTTGCCTCTACCAAGCACTGAAATAAACCTGTGGGCTTTAATACCACACCCACTTGTTATTTTAAAGGCAATTAATGAAATCATACTGGAATCACCAGGAAAAGCACTCCTAGGAGGCTCTAAGAACAGGAATTACTATTTAGCTCCTGCATTACTGCTGCCCATGAAGTCTGCAGCTATTAGGCAGACTCCTGCTCTGAAAAACCCTCCCTTTACAGCTCATTTTTCATATTAGGTTAGTTCACAGAATCATAGAATGTTTTGGGTTGGAAGGGACCTTTAGAGGCCATCTAGTCCAACCCCCCTGCAGGGAGCAGGGACATCCTCAACCAGATCAGGTTGCTCACAGCCCCATCCAGCCTGACCCTGAATGTTCCCAGGGATGGGGCATCCACAACCTCTCTGGACAACCCCTGCCAGGGTTTCACCACCCTCACTGTAAAAATTTTCTTCTTTGTATCGAGTCTGAATCTACTGTCTTTTTAGTTCAAAACCATTACCCTTTGTCCTACTGCAATGGGCCCTGCCAAAGAGTTTGTCCCCATCTTTCTCATAAGCCCCCTTTAAGCCCTGACCGGCCGCACTCAGCTCTGCCCGCAGCCTTCTCTTCTCCAGGCTGAACACCCCCAACTCTCCCAGCCTGGCCTCACAGCAGAGGGGCTCCAGCCCTCGGAGCATTTTAGTAGCCCTCCTCTGGCCCTGCTCCAACAGGTCCATGTCCTTCTTGTGCTGAGGGCTCCAGAGCTGGATGCAGGGCTCCAGGTGGGGTTCCTTAAACTACGTTTCACTGCAAACCTTGTGGGCATTTCTGCGGTACCTCCTCCTCAGGCAGGCAGCCATAAGCACCGAGCGCAATGAAGAAAAAACTCGTCTCTTAAATATTAAATGAGAAAGGCCAAAAAGGGGAAGAATTTACAACAAGCTAACGAGTCCAGTCTCACCAGGAGACTGCCCCATCGCCCCCGTGGTTATTAGCTAAGCTTGCTGTATACCTCCAAGTGAGCAGAACTCCCCTGACCACGCTGTATTTGTCATAGAATCATAGAATCACTTTGGTTGGAAAAGACCTTTAAGGTCATCGAGTCCAACCTTTAACCTAACCCTGCCATCCCACCACTAAACCCTGTCCCTAAGCACCTCATCTATCCTTCTTTTAAATACCTCCAGGGATGGGGACTCTACCACCTCCCTGGGCAGCCCATTCCAGAGCCTGACAACCCTTTCGGTGAAGAAATTTTTCCTAATGTCTAGCCTAACCCTGCCCTGGTGCAGCTTCAAACCATTCCCCCTCATCCTAGCATCTGTTACCAGGGAGAAGAGGCCGACCCCCACCTCACTACAGCCTCCTCTCAGGTAGTTGTAGAGGGCGATCAGGGCTCCCCTCAGCCTCCTCTTCTCCAGAATCCTTGCAAGTGCATCTGTGAGAAATAAGGCATCAGTAACACTTACAGCAGATTTATTAGGCCAAGAAGGAGGACTTGTCAGGTTGTAGGAAAATGAGGAAGGAGAAAAGGGGCCTTTGCCACTGGTAGCAAGGACAGGACGCTCTCCAGTGGGCTACGACATGCAAACTAGCAAATGCTCATGGAAGGGCTGTTCCCCAGCTCTCTGCCAGAAGTTAATCCCCGGTGACGAACAGGGAGAGGAGGGAATGTGGTCCATCCTGCATTGGACCTGCATTACTGTCACCACTTTCTTCACACGGTGAGGGAGAAGCGTGTTTTCCCCCCAGCTATGGGGGGTAGCTCCTGGAAAAGAAGCCATGTGAGCTCTGCAAAACCTCACCCAGTTGCAGCTGTTTGAGCCTGAGGCCAGGAGGCAGCCAAGGGACCCTTCTTTTCTCTCTTTCCCCAGCTAGATTTGGGCATCCCTGCCATGACCAAGTGCTGTAATCAGCTGGACATTTGTTACGACACCTGCGGGGCCAACAAATACCGCTGCGATGCCAAGTTCCGCTGGTGCCTCCACTCCATCTGCTCCGACCTCAAGCGCAGCCTCGGGTTCGTCTCCAAGGTGGAAGGTAGGCTTCCTGGCTCGCATCCCCTGTGGAGAGAACAAGCCATGGCCGGGAGGGGAGAGCGCGGGCAGGGAGCCCTTTCCTTGCCAGAAGAAACAAAAATCTGCAGCAGGGAGCAGCACATCTGTCCTGTGCTTGTCACAGATGGGTCAGGGCTGAGAGGGAACACACGGTTCTGAGATCTGTATGCATGCACACACACCACACTTCTGTCCCAATACTGGACACCTAAAATTATTTACATTTGGAAAACATTACAAAACACATGTGGAATGAAGAAAAAAAAAACCCCAAAACAAGCCACCAACCACCCCCCCCCCCGAGAAACAATTCCTTCAATCCAATCCTGGATGCCCTCCCTGAGAGTTCAAACACCTTCATGGGAGATCAAAAAGCCTTCCAGAGCCAGTAAGCCAGGCACTGAAACCTGTATGTGGCCAAGGGCCAACAAACTGGGAGAGCCAAGGACAGGGACTCTCTGGGATCTGGTTCACAGATAAGAGATGACGATGGCCCCAGGGACACAGCAGGGCGTGGGTGGTGGCTCAGCCGTTGCAGGGAAGATCTGGATTGCTCAGAAGCCCTCGTGCTAACAAAGCTCTAGTGACGCATCAGCAGCTCAAGGGCCACCCTGGTTTTGCCTCATTTAAAAGCCTCAGTCTGCAAGCTTGGGAGGAGCTCTTTGGTAAAGGCTGCGTTTGGTAACCTCTGTGAAGGTTACGCATGTGGTAGCCCAAGGCTGCCTCTTGGTGCCAACACCAAGCACCTCTGCACTGTGTGAGGAGGGGGAAACATCCACCCCATCACTACCAGAGGTCATTTCAGGAAAGCCTCCCCTGGGTGGCTCCTCCTGAGGCCATTTCAGAGCGTCCCCCTCCTCCGTGAGGCAGGTATCCATCTCTTGCTGAGGGGCTGCCTGGCAGTTGTGCAGGACAGGCAGAGGTGAGACCTGCCAAGGTGACACTGAAACAGTTAAAGATCAGGTCTGAAAACCCAGCAGAGCCCTTGAGAACAACCCATTCTCAAAGCTGAATACAGCTGGTGGTGCTGCTGAAGTTCTCCCAGCTAACTGCAGCCAGCCCCTCTGGGTCCATCCCCGCTGCCGATGGCCTGTTGTAAGGTACCCTTAACTTATGCGTTTGTTTTCCAAAGGTGCAGCCTGATTAGAACACACGGGCAAGTCTGCGTGACACCGGTACTAGTGCAGATGGCTTTCTACCTTGTCACAGATAAATCTTCGGAAAGAGCATGCAAGCCAGCAAGAGAAAACAAAGAGATGGACTGAGATAGAATCATAGAATCATTGGAAAAATGGTTGGAAATGACCTTTAAGATCATCAAGTCCAACCGAGATATAAGCGCTACAGGCCAAGTTTAGCCAATCTTTCATGGTCACCTTTATCTACAGGTCCTCGTGCAGCCAACCTCTTCCTATCTCTTCAGATTTTCCCCTGTCAATTTTTCAGATCACTCCTCTTTC